CCTCTGGAGTAGCAGAAGACTCATCGATTTCCTCCAGCTCCTTATCTAGGACATATTCCTTGTCCTCATAACGAGTGACCATCCTTATGTTCCTAATCCAATCATTGAAGTTGGAACCATCAAAGATGACTCTCCCACAAAGGTTCATGAGAGAGAAGGAGCCAAAAGGGTTTGAGCCAGAAGCATTGTTGGAAGACATCTGAAAAGAAAGAAAAACAAAGTTTAAATTAGATAAGGTATCCTTAATAAGTCACCCAAATGAAATACTAAGGCTAGGACCCAACACAATATTTTATAACTTAGAAGAGGGATGCCGTAATCCAAGCTAAAATATATGAAGGTAGGTGAATGACGATTCTCCAATTTCCACCATGAAAAAACGAAATAAATTATTAAGTTTTAATGAATTGAAATTCCTAGATTATTTTGAGATTCATTGAACTTTTCAATGGCATGTTGAAATCTCGATTGTGCCCTTCAAGTTTGTGACTGGGATGCCGAGGATCACAAAACAAGGTGTGAATAACCATGCAAATTAACTTGGTACCCTTAATTTTATCACCTAATCGATGTGCCGGTTAACCACATGCGCTCCACCAATCTATGATAAACATTAAGTTACCCTTTGCCACTCTTACTAGTCCATGTTAGTGTGGCGGTTAACCACACACGCTCCACTAACGACTTGGTAAGGTACAAAGTGTAATTTCATGGGTTAGAACCAAATTCACATTTTCCTAAGTAACTAAGATTGGAAATTTATAAAAGGTTTAGTTAATTTATATTTATCATTACACTTTTAATGAGATGTATAGTCCTTGTCCTACCCGTTCAGCTAACGACCCTCCACCAGTCAAGGAAGCGGTGGGTGAGAGTGGACACCCATTAAGCTGCCATTTTATAAGCAACAACCTTATACCCCCCTTATAGACTGACTACGTAAATGAGGCCTACTAACGGTAAGACTGACTTGATCTTATATATATATATATATATATATATATATATATATATGTATATATATATATTACTAACTTATAATATTATAAAGTATAAGGGTTGAATTTTAAACTTTTAAAACTCTAGGGATTGGAATTAAAGTATTAGTGTGTGAAACTTTACAAATTCCAAAACTTGAGGTCAAGTTTTGAAACTCTTCAAAACTCTTTAACTCCATAACTTGTGAGTTTAATGGCCTATTAAAATGAAGACTCTTCATTTCAATAACCTATGAGTTCTTAATTACTATTTTAAAGAAAAACTTTTGGAAATCCATAACTTGAGGACAAGTTATGGAGTCCATTAAAACATATTCATCATGGATTCAATTAATCAAATAAGCATGCATGATCATATTCAAACTCATAGAAACAAGATAATTCATATCATCAATATTCAAGACATTAGCATAAACATATTAATACAATTCTTGAAATTATGACAATCACCTTGTAATTAGATTAGGATAATCATTATCATATCATAAAAACAGTTTAAATGATTCAAAACAGTTAAAGGTAATGATCCTAACCCAATTCTGGCCAAAAAACTCGAACAACATGTTGTCAGCTCATCAGACTCGCCGAGTGCAAGTCCAGACTAGCCGAGTCCAAGGCTAAAAGCATCAACTCGTCGAGTCTGTTCATGGACTCGCCGAGTTGAGCAGTCAGACAGCAATTCCAGCTTTGCAAAATCACATATAAGCAACAATATAATAGAAAACAAGCCTAGGCTCTGATACCACTGATGGATTTTGAGCATCCTAACAACCTTAAGGTGCACATACAACCCTAGATGCTTTGGAACTATGTTTTCTCTATTATACATGCTAAATTTGATTTCCAAAGCATTGTCCTATCTAGCATGCAATTGTAGGTTCTTATACAATTAAAACTAGATAGAAATACATACCTTTTCTTGTAGTTGATTGCTTGGAGCTTTAAAAACTAGAACCAATAATGTGAATGCCTCAAGTGGAATCACAAATCACCACAAAAACTTGGAAGTTATTAAGAGAGTATACTAAGCTCACAAAATCGGCTATGCTTCAAGTCTCACACACTAGTGCCGATTTCTAGAGCCTTGGACTTCTTTATATAGTATGGAGGATTAGGGTTACATCCATGTAAACGCTAATACCCATGACCTTTCATTTCCATAGGATCCATGGGTTAAAAGCTCCATGGACTTCCATGCAAGCTTAGCCCATCCTAAATAATCCATTGGCCCATACTATTAGAATCCATATTAAACTAGTCTCTTTTTGATCACCAAATTAATTCCAAATTAATTTTTGATCAATACTAATTAAATAATGTGATTTCATATTAATATATTATAACATATAATATATTAATAAATCACAAATATACTATTCTCAAAAGACTATCCATACAAATTGTTCCGGTGAAGTGAAACCCAAATGGACCATGCCGGGTCGGGTCAAGCACATACCAAATATAGTTATGGACTTAGACACCTTATCCAACAGATAATTGGTGGAAGACAATTTGATTGTCAACATATGAAGAATGGTGTTGAGAGTGAGGGAGGCATCAGATGAAGAAGAAGATCCGGTCACCATGATTGAGAGGGAAAAGAAGATATAAGGCTGACTGATAAAAGAAAAGAAGGGAGAAGGATTGGAAAATCAGGCTGATACCATATAAGGATATAAATTGTGAATCTCCAATGATTTGGAGAGTTGTATATTGCACTATATATATTGTTTACAAAGTTACACGATAACATAATTTAAATACAACAATATAATCTTATCAACTACTTGTTTATTGATAAGGTAGACTTATCGTTAATAATATCTCATCTATTTCATCAAGCTAAAAAAACATAATCATGAAGAGATACTTAAGAATAGTATGATTTTTCAATGATGATTTATATTGGACTAAACCACCCATAACTATTATTATAAGAAAATCTACTATAATAAATGAAAATAATTTTGCCACATGTCAATCTCTAATAAGTTTTGACACTTGTTATTTTGTAATAGTTTTTAAATAAATAATCTCCACATGTCAATTTAGGGTTTTTTTTTTAATTTTTAAAATTAAAAAGCCATATAATACTTATACTTATATATGTAAAGTATTAAATATAATAAATATGATAGTAAATTGCAATTAATATGTTTTTTCATTTCTTATTTCAAAATTTTATTTTAAAAAATACTTATTGTTTACATTTTAATATTTTATTTTTTTAATCAACCCGTATAATATACGGATTTTACACATTGTCTTGATAAGGAAAACGACATATATGGGTAAATATGTTTCAAAATTGTTCAAAAAATACCATTCAAGTTTGGTATGTCCAAAAAACACCATCCAAGTACAGCATTTGTACAAAAAACACCAACGAAGTACATTCTTTGTTCAAATTTGACCTTGTGGTAACCGGCAGTTACCGGTAAAAAATAAGTAAAGAAAAAAAAACAAGAGGAAATGACTCAAAAGGGTAACTATGTTTCAAAATCGTTCAAAAAACACCATCTAAGTTTGGTATGTTCAAAAAACACCATTCGAGTAAACTTTTTGTACAAAAAACACCAACAAACCATATGTTTTGTTCAAATATTACACATCGTAAACTGGCTCTTACATGTTAAATGATGACTTGGCTTAACTATTATGACATGGCATAATAATTATTGATAAAACAATAAATGTTATATTCCTCCTTTGAAAATCGAATTAGGGTTTCTTCATGAACGAATGACTTCTTCTTCTCCTATGATTGCTCTTCTTCTTCTAAAGTGATGATCTTGAACTCAAGTCCAAAACCCTAATTCTTGACTTAAGGCAAAAAGGACTCCTTTACCCTTGCCTTAATGAGCCTCCCTCCCCCTAAGGCCCAAATCTATAAAAATACCAAAAAGGCATCCAAGCCCAACTACAAGGCCTCTAAGGCCCAATATGGCCCAAGAATCCCCAACATGGCCTTAAGCCCAAAAAATGACCTGCTACAATCAAGTGGGTCGAGGCCTAACTTAAACAAGTCCATTGCATACGTCCAATATATCCTGAAGCCTCTGCGATCCGGATGTCGAGCCAGTACGCCCGACGTACTCCTAGCGTACACCTAGTGTACTCAGCTAGGGTCAAGAACCGCCAATCGGACTTAGAATGAAGAAGTTATGGCCTTTGGAAGATTGGCGGCGATAACTTCTGCATTCTAAGTCCGATTGGCGGTTCTTGACCCTAGCCGAGTACGATAGGCGTACGCTAGGAGTACGCCGGGCGTACTGGCTTGACATTCGGATCGCAGAAGCTTCAGTATATGTTGGGCGTATGCATGGGCTTGTTTAAGTTAGGCCTCGGGCCCACCTAATTGTAGCAGGTCATTTTTTGGGCTTAAGGCCATGTTGGGGATTCTTGGGCCATATTGGGCCTTAGAGGCCTTGTAGTTGGGCTTGGATGCCTTTTTGGGCTTTTTATGGATTTGGGCCTTAGGGGGAGGGAGCCCTTTTTGCCTTAAGTCAAGAATTAGGGTTTTAGACTGATTTCGAGATTATCACTTTAGAAGAAGAAGAGCAATCATAGGAGAAGAAGAAGTCATTCGTTCATAAAGAAACCCTAAATCGATTTTTAAAGGAGGAATATATCATTTACTGTTTTGTCAACAATTATTATGCCATGTCATAATAGTTAATCCAAGTCATTATTTAACCTGTAAGAGCCAGTTACCTGTGAGTAGTATTTGAACAAAATATATAGTTTGTTGGTGTTTTTTGTACAAAAAGTTTACTTGGATGGTGTTTTTTGAGCATAACAAACTTAGATGGTGTTTTTTGAACGATTTTGAAACATAGTTACCCCTTTCAATCATTTCCTCTTGTTTTTTTTCCTTTACTTATTTTTTACCGGTAATTGCCGGTTACCACAAAGTCAAATTTGAACAAAGAATGTACTCCGTTGGTGTTTTTTGTACAAATGTTGTATTTGGATGGTGTTTTTTGGACACACCAAACTTGAATGGTATTGTTTGAACGATTTTGAAACATAGTTACCCATATAAGTCATTTTCCCAGTCTTAGATAATATAGTGTTCTTAGACACTCAAAAGCTGTTACAACAAACTAAGAAAAAACCCAAGTGTTTTGATCTAAATTTTTTTATTTAAGGAATGTCTAATAATTATATTTAACATTACAAAGAACTAGGATACTAGATTTTATATATAAAAAAATAAATCACATAAATATTTGAAATCGGTTAAAGTAAGTGTTAGAAGAGTAAACTATTTTTCCTATTTTATGTTTTTAAAAAAAATGTTTTAGACGGTTAATTCCATCAAATCGGTATACAACATTATATCTCCGAGGGCGCAATCTGCGACGTTCGTCCGCAAAAGATTCGTCGGTCGAGCAAGGTTCTGCAATCGCTATCTTTCTCCACAGGTTCGTCAATTTCATACAAAATATACAGCTATTGATTCCATCATTATGAATCTTGCAATTGCAAACCCTAGATCGAACTCTACAAACAACATACAGATGATTAATATGATATACAGAACCTAAATTTTGTGCAAATTCATTGAACTGTTTGTTTTATGGATTTAAAATTGCGATCTTGATTATACCCAATTGCAACTTTAGGGCTTTTAATAGCTCAATCAGTAGGTAATTTTAATTATTTTTCTGATTTCGGAACAATTCGAATATTAACAAGTTCTTCGAGTTTCTTCTTAGGGTTTACAGATGTCATTACCAGATGAATTATGGAGGTTGATTTTGGAACTTGGAGTCGAAACTTCATCTTTAACCTACAAAGACATTTGTTGTCTTTCAATGGCTTCCAGACGTTTAAATCATCTTTCAAAAGAAGACAACATTTGGTCAAAATTACTCTCTTCCGATTTCCCTACTCTCTCTTCATCTTCAACCTCTACTCCTCCCAAATCCATCTACCAAACCAGATTCGAAAAAGACAAAGCAAAAAAACTTTTAGCAGAAAAACGAGCTGTCCTAAGACTCGAATCTCAGATCCATGAACACACAAGAAAAGTACACGAGATTGAACACCAATTAGATGAAGAGAATGAGAAGATCAAATCCGCCATTGATGAGTTGAAGAACTTGCAGAAAGTGAAGGAAGCTTCGAGTGCTTTGAAGGTTTGGCAACCGGAGATTGTTCATGGAAGGCATAGACAGATTGTTGAGCATTGTAGTGTCCCGGTTGAGTCGAGGATTAATGTGTTGGATATGGAGATTAAGCTTTGTAGACAACAGATGATTGGGTTTTTGAAAGCTCGAAGAGAAGAAAAGGGAAGACTTGAAATGGTGAAGGAGAAGTTATTGAAGGTGAAGTATCGATCGTTTGAATGTTTGGAAAGAAGTAATGTTGATGACGAATCAAGAAAGTGTAGAAAGAATTTGAAGAAAGTGAAAAGAGTGGAATAGCAATTTGATGTTGTATTTTTATTATAGTTAGAGGTGTAATTTGTGTTTCTTTTTTAGGGATATTGTTTGAATATTGGTTTAAAAACTTTTGCTTATCAAAGGGCATAGAATATAACAAAACATATTTATATTTCCATAGTTTCAATAGTAACAAAACATATATATATATATATATATATATATATATATAATAGAAATTTGTATAATAAAACGTGTACAATTTTTAACTTTCACTTACATATAGCTACTATTAATAAAATATATAAATACGTTGATATCAAGGTTGTCAAGATCTAGATCTTACCTAGAATTGTTTTTCACTACGTAAGTTTGAAATCATAAGATCTTCTACCAAATTGAAATAGTTATAAGTTTAAAAATTTAAACTTAAAAGCTCCACCAATCTGCATGGTCACGCATTTATATGAAGTTTGAGGTGATAAGCTTAAAAGTTCATACATAATACATAAACTTTAAATGTAACTATCTAAAAAATGTCACATTTATATAAAGTTTGAGATGATAAGCTTAAAAGTTAATACATAAACTTTAAATGTAACTATCTAATAAATATTAAATGAAAAATGATTCATTTAGTATCATTATTTATGCTCTCAAAGTTATTTTACCAATGAAAGCAAAAAAAATGACACCAAAAGCTTATTTAGCATGTTTGACATGAAAATTTTAAGAGTTTCTAGTTTTTAGTTTTTGACAAAACGTTCGATTTAAACAAAAAACTTCGTTTTGACAGTAATGGCCTTTTAACTTTTATTTTAAACAAAACCCTCCAAATCTAAAAATTACTTCATGTAACGTTTTTTTGAATTAACTTATAGAATTGCCCTTAAAAATATATTTATATATTTACCTGTTTTAAATGATTGTTTTTTTTATGTAATTTTATATATTTCAAAAGCTTCAAACTATTTTTGTCAAACACTCGTATAACAAAAAAACTACCTGCTTAACCCCTACCAGCTTCAGCTACCAATTAGTTTTGCCAAACACGCCTTAAATCATTAAATAAGTTAACAAATCACCATGATGCGAGGCTCTATGTAGCTTCAAGCAACAACTAATGCTCAAATTCAATGTCTATGGACAAGTTATGAGACTAAATTTCGATCTAAACAATAAATTAATAAGGCTATGCATTGAATTTACGAATTGATGTATGAGGTTAATTTTCTAATGTTAAGAAAGTCTTTAGAGTTTACATTTTAACACAAAACACCAAATTAAAGATTCGAATCTTAACAACACTTCCGATATTACAAATAAAAAAAACTTTGCTACTCTCCGTAATTTAACCATTACTAAAACATCATAAAAAGACATTATTACAACATAGAAGTATAGAACAGTAAAAAATTGTATACAAAACAATGCTCATTATATAACAAAGGTATAATGAAATTCAAATACCCAATAAAAAGACATCTTTTGTTCATTAATTACATGTTTTTAGCTCTTGTTTAAATTCTTGTATTCCCTTGAAAAAAAAATGTTAAGATGAAGTGGTGTCGTTTTCTTTCTTAGCTGTTTCTTCCTCGAGCTTTTTCTTCCAATATTCATCCACAGGAGGTCCAAAGATAGCTTTTCCAGAGACAATTCCAATACTAAAACACATAAATCCAACAACTTGTTAAAATACAAATGTATAAAATCCGCTTTCACTTTATCTATGTTTTTTCATAAACTAATCATATGCTCTTATTCTCATAGGAATTTACATGATTACAAGTTCAAGAATCATCATACTTTTGACATTTTGTTCAAATGTGAACATTTGGTAGATGGGGTGTTACATGATAATGATATTCGTTTTATCTCAGGTAAATATCAGATTGTAGATTTGAAACTTGTTTATTAGGGTTTTACCTTCAAAGAGAAAATTCTAAAGAAAAAAATGCAATTGAATAGAACTCTATCATAAATTATTAGAAAACCTCAACAAACTCATCATGAAACTGATTTCGATTGATCAAAATGGTAATCTATATTTCCCATATTATCAACGTAGATTGCAAATCAAAAGTGTCTTTCTTTTATTGTGACATTGGTAGGTTCAAAGATCAATTCAATAATCTTCGTGAGCATAAATACAACAGAAGGAAGATAAAACGAACATTTTTAACATCAAATCGAGGGAAGTATGCATTATTAAGATCAATGCAAGGGGTATATCCAGATGATTTGAGTTCATATAAGATAAAGAGAAGAACTTACACAACAGCTCCAATAACCATGGGAAGCGAGAGGAACCTCCTTCGATTGAACATACTCTCTGCTAATGCTAACACACACGAACAGAAATCCCCTCTTGAGATTCTTTCTAGGTTTTACAATTTTAATGGCGAAAAATTGAAATGGGTAATTGGGTATTGCCGTATGTGGTCGCGTTAACTGAAAAGTGAAAACCGAAGCTCCAAGCTTTAGACTTCAACCGAAATGGATCGTGGAGCATTTCTTGAAATCGAATTGAACCATTGAAAGGCCCATTTGTGAATTAGCCTTTAAAAAATTTAAAAACATAACCCATTTTACACCGACTCTCAAAGTTTTGAATAATCATATAAAAAGTTTGGGAGGGTAATTCTATTTTTGTCTTGTTTATGTCTAGGTAATTTTATTTTTTTATATGTATTTGACCATTTAATTTGTTAAATGTGTTCACATAATAGTAATATATAAACACATTTAACAAGTTAAATGGTTAAATGTGTACAAAAAATAAAAGTTATCTAAATGTGAACAAATTTTTTTTTTACAAATTTCTTAACATTTTTTATAATTTCTTACAACATTTTTATGATATTTTTTTCATATAGGTTTTTCTAATACAATGTTTTAAACTTTGCTTATAATTTTATTTTTAATTTTTTTTATATTTTCATATAATTTTAATACAAGTGCTTTTAAACCAAATATTTTATAAATGTTTTAATTTTTCTTACAAGTATTTAACTTTTTTTATAACTTTAATACATTTATTTCTAAACTTTTTTTTACAACATTTATAAATTGTTCACAGATTTTGTATGACAGTTTAACATTTTTTTATAATATTTTAAAATACTTTCGTTAAATACTAGTTTAAAACGTTGTATTAAAAAATTAAACGTTTATAAACTTCTAATTAAAAAGTATTAAAAAGTTGGAATAATTTTAAAACATTTACATTATATAGATTTTTTTTTTGTTTTTTTACTTGCTAAGTAATATTTTCCTTTTCTTTTTTTAAAAGACTCTCCATACTTATTGTTACATATTTAATTTATTTAATTTTATTGTTAGATACTATTTACTTTAAAAATATTGTATATGCTTAAAAAAATTATAAGAGGCTATATAAAATATTTCACAAAACAAAAACATATTTATTAATTAAAAAGTAAAGTTTAAAATTGATCAATATTTAGGAAATTATGGATATTTTGAAAATAACGTTTGAAAAAAATAATACAAACAAATATGAAAAATAAAATCGCTATTAAAAGTGGGGAAAATGACTTATCAGAGTAATTAACTTTTTGTTTTGCTCATATTTAGACAACTTTCTTCTTTTGTACACATTTAATCATTTAACTTGTTAATTTGTTCACATATTACCAATGTGACCTGCTATAGCCGGTGACAATGACAATATGTGAACACATATAACAAGTTAAATGGTCAAATGTATACAAAAATAAAGAAGTTACCTAAATGTGAACAAAATGATAAAGATATTACCCTTGTAAGTCATTTTCCCTATAAAGGAATACCTAAACCTTTTACAATATTAAAATTTCTCAATTTTAATGTTTACCACATAGTAATATTTTTCAAAAAAGACAAAATGTCTATAATGGACCTCTAAAACACCATTTTCTTTCCAATCAACCTTCAAATATCACACAATTTTTGTGTTGGTTCATTTTTTACACTAAATATAGGGGCCAAGAATGAAAACCTCTAAAAAACAACAATTTTAAAGGTTGGTTGGATTGAAATCACCATTTTTGTGTGAAATCATCACTATTTTTGTGTTTATGGTTGGAGAAGCTCTTACAACTCAAAGTCCATTAGAATAAACATTACTTAATACCCAAAATTCAACACAATACGAATTACATTTTACTTAGACATGAAGTTATACTTTAACGTTATATATATATATATATATATATATATATATATATATATATATATATATATATATATATACAACCAAGTTCTTTTGAGAACCAAAAGATTTGTGAAAATTTGTGAAATCATAATCAACTCATCATTTTTCAACACCAAAAACACCAATCTTTTATTATCTCTTTTATCAATTGATTTTGGTTCTTTTTTATGAAATACTCAGATTATATGGATTTTTCTGCAGTCAAAAGTAAAGGGAGCATAACTTGAGACTCAAACATGCACTTTCTGACGATATATTGAAAGAAGACTCCAAAAAGATTTCTTTTCAGAATTGGAAAATCATTCTAGAGATATTGTAACGACCCAAAAACTAGGATAAAATTTTTCATTTTAAAAACAAGAGTTACAATCATCACATTGTTCCAAAACCATCACATAACAATAATGTCAAATCATCAGAGTACAATATCAAAAGTGCGGAAAATAGTGAGGAGTGAATGTTGTGCCATCAAGTCGGGCCCTTCCCCTTAGTACCGGAAGTACCTGAAACCACAAATATAAACAATAAGCAAAAGATTAGTGAGTTTCCCCAAAGTACCACATACCAAACATAAATAAGCTAGTGCTATTGGCCAAACCATAGTCTTACAAACAATTTCCTGCCGAGGCCAAATCCCGGTCTTCCATACAGTTGCCAGGGGCCAGATCCTAGTCTTTCACACAGATGCCAGGGGCCATATCCTAGTCTTTCATACAGTTTCCAGGGCCCAAAATCCTGGTCTTTCATAGACATATATCAAATACAACCAACACCCTATATCACAAATAATGGGTCGGCCTTGATGCCTTTGACCCATTGATACAGTGAGAAACTCACCTCAGTCCGCTGATAAATAACTAACTGCTCGGCTACGGAACCGGAAGATCTCATACTGAACATACACAAATTACCCTATTCGGAGATAGGTTA